CTAAAATCATACAAAATTTAAAAAAAATGAATTCCAAATTATGTACTTTATTTCAATATGAAGTTTACCCATTTTGAGGTAACTCGAAATATACAAGTCCTTAATCCTAAATTTATAAAACTTTATAATGATTATTTATATTGAAACTTTTGGAACTGATGTAATAAATATTAGCGTCAACATATTTTTAAGAGTTGTCGAAGGTAGATAGTCCGACACTACATATTTCGCTTTCGAATGATTTATGATTGAAAGTTAGCCTACATATGGTTATTGACAGTGTTTATGAATATACGCAATCCATACATTCAGAAACGGAAATCACGTAGTTCACAGTCACGAAACTATCGAATGCCTTAGAATTGAAATAGGAATCGTGTGTTTAATGCAACTGACTACATGTACAGGCGTGGAACTGCTGCCTGTTGCACGCTGAGAGCAAAACACTGGCAATGTGATACATTGTTTAGTATTTGTTTGACTACATGGCAGTAAGTAATAGAAATCTGAGAAATATTCCATACAGAAAAATTTATTATCGAAGATGAAAAGCGACCTACACTATATAATATAAAAGTCAAAGAATATAGTAATAGAAACATAAAGGCGAAATTGTGGAATGAAGTTGGAAATAAAAGGCATCCAAGCTGTATAAGATCTATTTTTGTACCGAATTGATTCTTCCTAAATGTAGCGTGCACGTAGCGCGTTAAATGTCCGTAAAATCCATATTTCCGCGAAGAACACGCGACGTGTAAAATGCCCGTGTAGTCCTGGCTTTAAGCTAGAGATTTCAGTTAACTAGCAAAGAATTAACATAGAGTAACAATAACTAGAAAAGTAAAAGAAACAACAATTGAAAAGAGATAAGTGATATTTCCCCACAATATTTTTGGCACTTTCGATCATCTGATAAAAAAATGTTGTGAACAAAACTTAGTCAGTACTCAATCGGCAAGAAATTGTAGATTTGAAAATAGCCAAAAACATTCCTCTTCAATAAAAAATGAAGGTCACCATAATGTTTTTAAATAAGACCATGTATGTTTAAGTTCATAGTATTATAGGCGATGTCAAGGCGAATTCTATGACCTTCTGATGACCTTGAATTAAAAAATGATCACGAATCAATTGCCACGATATTTGACCTAATGACCAACATTAAACACAACTTTAGAATAACAAACATTTTATTTTATTTGAGTCCTGACAAAAATATAATCAATACTTTATGTGGTATAATACAACAAAAAAAGTTAGCCTTAATCAAATTGAGAATACATGAACTGTGACAGGTTTAGGGTTAGGCTTAAGCATTGTCCCTAGAACGGCGGGTAACAGTTCAGTGTAATTTAGTGTGTTAGCGCAATACACGATTTCAAGCGCGGGAAAAGAAGATTTTAACGTTTGTTATTTATCTTGCTAAAATCTTTGAAGTATATAAAGAACAATGTCAAGTCCTATGAGATCACCAACTGCAGATAGTCCTAGAAGAACTCCTAGAAGACAAACTCAGGGTATAAGATCTCCTTCCGTTCTTGGTACTCCTCGTAAGTAACTTTTTCATAGGTTACCTTATATTCATTTTTTGTCTAAAATACTATTATATTTATACAATGTATTATATATTTATTTTATAATTTTTATATATCAGGTACTATGGTTCGTAATGGAGTTGATAATAATGTAGAGACTCCATTAAGGTGGGGTACCAGTGGCACACAACAAAATACCAGGAGCCGAGCTGCCACAATTGTTGCTTCTTCTGAACATGAAAGTGGTGCTGATTCTGGTGACCATTTTACAGATCATTCTGGACCAATTAATGGTTCAGAAAGTGGTTTGCAATTATCTTCTCCAATTAATTATGGTACACCAAGCTCATTGGGATCAATTCGTACTCCAAGAAGTGGAATCCGAGGTACTCCAATTAGGCATAGACCTGATATTAACACAGACAGGCATTTACGCCAATTCACCTTGCAAGAACCAGTAAGTTGATGACTATAAACAATTTTTATAATATTGATATTATTGTCATTATCTTCCATTACTAATTTTAGAAACATCTAATTTTTATAACTGACATTTTTTAACTAACAAGATT